ACTGCTGACGAGTGCAATGACTTCGGAAGCACTTAATGCATTACTTTATGTCTTTTCCAAAAAAAAAAAAAAATTAATAGTGCTATAATAAAAATAATATTTACCAAAAAGTTTCATTCAAAAATTTTTCCAATAATTGCAAGCGTCGAATATGCCGCATGCCGAAAATAATAAAATCAACTACTTGAAGTGGAAGTGCGGAAAAGCTGAAGAAGAAGAAGCATTAAATGAAAACAACAATTCATTTTGATTGACATGTAAACAAATGTGCGTCAAAAACAAAAACAACAACCAATGCAATTTGTGATAATAAGTGAAAAAAGCTTTTTGCTATTATTGTTGTTGTGCACACAAATCATTATCTAAACAATGACATGATGGCAACATTTGTTTATACTAACCGAAAAAGCAACAGCTAAGCAAATAAACTCGCCAAGCTCGTGAGTAGGCGAGCTGCTAGCCAGACAGCAGCGAAAATTCGGTCACATAACGGCTAAAGTGTGGGCGTAATCGTTTTGATACGATTTTGGTGGCGCTGCAGTGCGTGCACGCAACGAACAAAGGAACGGGTGGTTCAAGTGACTGTCAGCAACTAGCGGTGACATCAACGAGCGTCTGTGGCCAAAAAAGAAATGGAAATAGACGATATATATGTTAAGAGTAGCTAAAATTAAAAGAAAAAATACATAATTTAAGTAAAATAAAATAAACTAAAATAAAATAAAATAAAATAAAATAAAATAAAAAAAAATAAAATAAAATAAAAAAAAACAAAGTGGATTAAAAATAACGAAAATTGTTATAAAGAAATATCTATAAATTTTCCGTATTTTTCACCCATTTTTACCGCTCGCAGTGTTGCACCGTAAGTAACTTCCGCGCCAGCAAAAGCAATTAATTGCTACAACTTCCGCCGCGTGTCATTTATTTTGAGCAAACATTTGGCTCAACAAAAAGGAAAAAATAAACAAATTTAGCATAAATACAGACATATTTTAAAAATATTTATACACAAAAATTATTAAAACAACAAATATATAAAGAAAAACAGCGGCGAGCACAGTTCTAAAAAAATTTGCTCCGTAGCCAACTTTTGTGAATTATTTTCTCGGCCTCTTAGCTATTATTTTTGTTTTATAATTACCATTTTAATAATTGTCTAATTTTTCTTTCTTTCTGTTTTGCTTTCTTTACAATGTATAATTGCATGGCCCGCAATTTTTCTACATTAATTTTAATGACTTCTTTTTTGTTGTGCGTTTTCATTTCCTTTTTTTTCTGTTCTGTTAAAATGTTTTACTTTTTGGAATTTCGCACTGCAAATTTCTTAGCACCATTATATTTTTGCTTGTGCACTCAATTGCATGTTTACATGCGCATTTGTATATACATATATTCTAATAGCAAATAAATCACGCTCGATTAATAAAAACGTTCACGCTGACTTGATTGCATGCCGCCATGTCATCCTGCGTTTCGCAGTATCCGCAAGCAAAAAAAAAAAATAAATAAATAAAAAACTGAAAGAAATTACCATGGCATATCGTTGTCGCAGCATATAAGTGCATTTATAGTGCAGAAGATCACAAAATGATGGAGGACGTTGGGAAGAAGCAAATTAGTGAGTTATATGAATCCATTGCGATTTCTTTTATCTGAGACCGTGAATTTCTTGCAACTAACAAAGCAATCGACCGGCCGGTCATAGCTTATTGCACACCAAAACGTAGTGAAGAAGCTACAACTCTGTTAGAACTCGGAAGTCCTTCAAAGGCAGCCACCTTCTGATGTCACCTATTCACTACTCATGCGAATTATATAAGTTCACAAGTGTATGATCCGAGTTAAGGAGTAAAACAAACCTGTTCCACGCCATTCAGTATCATGTTCGATCTCTTTGTCATCTCTGTCATCTCTGCGTTATCCGTCAATGAATCCCCGACTCTACCCAACTCTTTGTTTAGTTAAACTCACTAATCTAAAACACTCTACCTCTAGTTCCAACCCCTCGAAACAGCAACATTGAAATAGACTAACGTCATTTGCTCCTGTTGCGAGGTATACCAAGTCGCTATAACAAAAATAAGATCGGATTGTTAGTTTTGAACTGTGGAAAAATATTGTGTAAATGAAACCGAAAGTGAATTAAATATATATTTGAGATTTGTTAAAGTATGGCTTGCTCGAAGCTGCACAGGATTTTCAAAATAAATTTTGTCGATAAATTAATTTTTTTGCTTTATGATACTGCCACGGAAGCTCTTACAGTATAGCTGTGGCTCCGAATAGTTCATATGGTGATTCATAAAATTACATAATTTTTTTTTTTACCAGGAGAATGTAGCAAAAGAGAGGAATTACACTTTGCTCGTATTGTTGAAGTGTTTTAAGTCAGTTTTCTAGTTTTCACTGCTATGCGTCAATGAGATTAGGGCTGAAACACCGGAGAAAACATACGCCAAAATTTATTCCAACAGTACCTTCGGTCATCTGTTGCAATTGCAAACAGTTAATTTATATTAAAAATCAGACTTTTAGAATTTGAGTCTTCTATAAAATACATATGTATGTATGAACTAAAATTCATATAAGGAATATTTTTTATTTCCAAAAAATATCGCTTGCGTACACGCATGACAGTTGCAATTAATTTCGCGCAGCAGCAAACTGACGATGCATACATAGCGCAACTATGCCAACAAATATTGAAATTAATTATAAATATATAATAGAATATAAAAATACAAATACGCAACCAATAATAACCAAGCCAACCACAGCAAGCAGCCAAACAATCACCCACAACTCGCACGACGACCACCGACTGCTTGGCCAACGTCGAGTGCAGACGTGTTGGGCGGCAGGTAATAAGCGGCTGGTATTGATTTTATAACAATATTCAATATACATATATGAGAACACCTATTTTTATCAAGATTTCATATATATGTACATACGTGTATGAATATCCGTTAAGGCAAGAAGAAATAAAAATTCCTAATTTGTATTAATTTTTACAAATTTCAATAGATGTTTTTTCCACTTTTTTCTGGTGTATTTGCATGAAAATTTCGTTGCGCTGAAATAAAAGTGCAAAATTTAATTGATTTAAAAATTTAATTGACAGTTTTCAATTTTGAAATGCGCATAAATATTTTCAAAAAAACAAAAAATCCGAATTATGTGTTGATCAAGTTTTTACAGAAAATATGGGAATTTTCAAATTTTAAACAGAAAAATTTATTTTATTAAAAATTTCAAATAATTGGTATACTAAGGAAAACGTGTTAGAAACAAAGAAATCAAAAAACATTAAGAAACACAACAACAAAGTGAGCCTAAGCATCAGCAGGTCGATGAATATGCAGAAAAATATGCAAGAATTACGAATTTCGGAATCTATAATTATTTACGTCAAAGCACTCGTGACAAAAAGACATCGAAATATCTATGTACATTGTTGTACATGTACGAGTATATATACATATATACATGTACACCGAATACAAGTGGGTGTGATTGCATGAAATGCAAAAATATTGCAGAATTAAAATGTAAATCTACAACAATATTCATATATATATATATATATATATATCCATATCGTATATACACGAGGGCCCAAATGCAAGCAGAAAAATTTCAAAAAGTAATCGCACCGCAAGGGACCGCACAAAGATCCGCCCTCCATCTATTTGTAAATGCAAAACACAATTTTACAAGCTTACGCTGGCCTGCTAGCGGTAAATTCATAATTCCATAAGGAAATCAAGCATATTTTTTTCTCGCATTTCCTAATCTAATTTCCCCTCCTTGAACTGCCCCCAACACCTGAAGTGTAATATCTTTGAGTCTCATCTTTAAGAAAAGAAAAAAGATTTTTTTTTATATATAAATAACATCACTGGGGTGCCAGTGCATGGCTACATCTTTGCAAAAAATGTTAACGCCAAGCTAAAACAACAATAACAACATTTTGTTGCAGCAGCAGCAGCAACAGCAACAGCAGCAACATCATCATCCACAGCTCGTCCATTCTGATTTGTGCCTTATTACCTGTCTTCGATATGAGCCTACGCTATTCTTGATGGCTCTGTATGGCTGTGTGTGTTCGTGTCTTTCTGGTGCTCTGCCAACTCATTGAGTGGTTGAGTGGTCGAGTGGCGGCATGGGCGTATCGTGGGAGCTGTCGCTGCAGTGAGAGTGAAATATTGATGCTTAATAACGCTTGTGTAGTGTTGGTGGGAGGAAAATGTGTAACCGAGTATTCGGTTCACTTGTTTTCTTTAGTCGTGTTGTCGTCTGGTTGCCTTGGACAAGACGAAACGGACGTCCATTAGGCTTGGTGCAGTGTTAGCGATAGTAAAGCACAGGTAAAACTGTCACAGGTGCTGTCAGAGAGCACTCTTTCCTTGCTGATTGCTGATCGCCTATATGCCGCTCAACGATGAGGTGGAACCAACTTCGTCGATACTAAGAGGAGTTGGTGTACTTCTCCGTTGCCGCTTCTATTTTACCTAACGCCGATCGCATTGGTGCTTAAAAATTTGATAAGTTTAAACGCGGGAGGACATGTACTCTTCATTTACTTAGGACTACAATAACATTCAGATTCTCTGTTGAGTTCAGTGGCGGCAGCTGCCGATGCTATCAAGACGCAGCAGATGCGCAACTACTCTCTATTACTGTTTATTGCGAGTATGGACTCATCTTTTATCCTATTTTACGAACAGCTGTCCCTTCCAGTCTCTCCCATCTGATAAATCCGCATATCTAGCATCACTATCAGCAGACGTCTACAATGTTTTACATCCCATTCCACGAACGCTCTAATTCAATCGAATTAAAGTCAAATTAAAACAATTTGAAAAGATTTTATTAATCTCACTCACTCACCGCGCACTCATTTTCGGTGAGAGCGTGCAATTATCTCTGCTTGTGCTTGTGGTTAGCAAGGTGAGTGGTGATGATGATGGTGGCGGTGGTTGGATCTTTGCGATCGCGTCGCCATTTATTTTGAGATCAAACATATTTCACAAAGATATTTCAAAAATTCACTAATTTTTGAATAAAAGCGTTGTAAACTGGAAAACAGCGACAGTTTGCCAACGGCTACGCAGCGCGAAATATTGAAATCAAAATTGGAAAAAAGGAAAATAATCTGCTTAGCGAAAAATTGTGCGCTCAATTGAGTGGTAGACGTGTGCAAAAAAAATAAGAAGAAAGTGTTTTGACTTGGAAAAGGATTAACTGTGCCATTTCGGAAAATAAAAATAAAATACAAAATAAATTATATTATTTAATAAAAAATAAAAATAAATAAAAATAAATAAAGTGAAATTGCAATTCTTTGCACGAGTGATCTAGTTAACTCTAAAACATTGTTGATATTAAATTCAATTTTTCCTTTTTTTCGCTTAACACACACCAACAACCAAAATGATTTGTCCGAAGCGCACTGCCGAATTAATCACACTACACCTGGCACCCTTCAAGGATACCGATCCTGCCTGGGAGATAGGTGTTTCAAAAATCGCTGGACGTGGTATTTTCACTACACGCGAACTTAAACGTGGTGATATTATCTTCCGCGATAGTCCACTACTTATCGGTCCCTCCGCTCGCGCCGAGGATACATTGAATTCGTGTTCGGTTTGTTTTAAAATGTTGCCTGATACGAAATTTATGTGTCGCCAAGGTTGTGGTCTACCCGTTTGCTCGTTGTGTGGTAAAAAGCAACAACACAAAGCCGATTGTACTCTCTTCAAGTCATGGAAACCCTGCGAACCGGATGTAGCCAATTCATTACTCATTCGTTTGCTTTGCGTTGGGCGCGCCATCAATTTGTCGAAGGATCAACGTGATCTTGTCTATTGTTTGCAAGCAAATTTAGATAATAATCATCGTACTGAAGTGCGTAATGCCGCTAAGGGCTTTCATGAGTTCCCCACCGATAAAAAATTGATTGAGATTATGAATCGTACCGTGGCTGTGCTGCGTACGAATGGTTTTGATGAGACCTCGGATCGTTCAAATGATAATCAAGAGTTTCTATATCGCGCTTTATTTCCACTTTTCGCCATCATGAATCACGATTGCATTCCCAATTCATATTATACGTTCGAGGATAAGACCAGAAATATGATCGTGCGTGCCTCAGTCGATATACCAGCTGGCACGGAGGTTACCACTACGTACACCAAGCTATTCACGGGCAATATTGCTCGTCATTTATTTTTGAAAATGAAGAAAGGATTCACGTGCAAGTGTTCGCGTTGCTCCGATTCAACGGTGAGTGTCGGTATGGAAAGATTGAGAAAAGATCTTTTGCGGAAGTGAGTTATAAGTTTATGAAGTTAGCGTCAGGTTTTGTGTTGCAATTAGCTAAATTTGTAAGCTAGTGAAAAAAAATAAATAAATAATTTTTAACTTACTAAAAATTAATTACATGTTCTTTATGAAATTGAAATATCATCAGACTCCCTTAATTAATCTGATTAAATGTTTCCAAAATTTTTTTCACTCAGAGCTTTGTACATTTCTAAATGCAAATTTATAACAAAATATAATAATTTATAACAAAATAATAAAAATATTTTTTAATAAAAAACAATAAAAACACCTACATAAAAACAATAAATAAAGAAGGTTTTTACACTAGTCACCACTTAACTACTCCACCAGATGAATGATTTTTTTTAGACAATTTATACTGAACACCAATCAATAACGTTTAAATTGAAAAAAAAAACGCTGGAAACAATTTCTAGGTACTTCAACATGCTAAAAGTCATCAGAAGAGCACCTAGATCATAACCCATAATTCGTTGATTAAAACTTAATAGCTCTTAAATCTAATATTGTATAAAAAAGTTCGCCATATCGTATGAGCAACATTTAGTGAACACAACATCGTAAGTTTTTACTACCAAATTATCCGTCCCCCCGTGCCTACAGAATGCTAAAGCTCAAACTTTACAATAAAAAGAAGAAAATTGCTTAAAAACTTTTCAACAAAAAAAATAATAAATCTCTAGATAAAGCTAAAAATAAAAATATCTTATTTGATCGAATAACTAAGTTCTTAATGTAATGTGGATCCACGTACAGTAAATTAAGTTAAGTTAAGTTACGCCAAACAACCAAACACTTAAATTAACAAATAAATAAATTTAATCAACCTGCAAAATTCGGTGAAAATTGTAGATTTTCATGCAATAGACGTGTCGGCATTGTCGGGAGGGTCATTATATTTTACCTAATTAATTATACACCTATATATAAGATGCGCTTCGTAGAGTTTATACCAAACCGCTTCCGAATGGCAGAGAATTTTTTATTAGCAGTCTTTATTTAGAGTCTAAAATACACTCCGAGGGGTGACATTTACTGCCGAGCGGCGGCAACAAACAGAAAAATGAACATAATTTTTTCCTTACATTAATTTTGTATACCTTTTGAATGTTGGTAGAACCAGAACTTATTGTCCGGCATTCCAGATGACTCTACACAATGCTAACCACAGTTAATTAATTAATGAACTTCTTACCTGCAGTGCTACATCATATATCTAAATTAACGAATCATCCGCCCCCTCATACCAACTTCAAGCTATACCATTTCCAGTAAAATAAGAACTATCAATATAAATCAGCTCTGGAAAACCCTTTGAGTGGTCATACTATTTTTATTGAGTGCACATGTTTAACCAAAACACTTTCACATTTTCAGGGAAAGAAAGGGCAGTAAAAGCCTTGTAATATACAAAATTTTTATTATTTATTCACTTTTAATGAATGGTCTTCATTGGATTAAGAAATAATGCAACCACCAAAACATTAATTTTTTAAGCGAATTTTCTGGAAGAACTTCAGTAATCGCCATTAACATGTCTTTTATCGACTGAGTTGGGTAGATGCCTCAGACAGGTACTTCAGTTTTTGAAAGAGCAAAAAATAGGTGAAAATATTGATTTTGATTGATTTTTTTTGTTAGTAGCTCGTTCAAAATTATAGTTTTGTAAAATGGCACGTTTAGATAAAGCGCAAGCGAAGATTTTTAAATCCAAGAGTTTCCTTTCGCGTAATAATCTTTATTGACAGTCAATCCGACTGGCTGGAGTTCAGAGTGCCCACCAGCGCAATTATTAAAGAATATAGTAAACAATCCCTTGACTTTTGCTAAATTTTGACATGGTTTGTTCAGTTTAAGATCAGGTGGAAGACGCTGTTTCTAAGCTTGCTGGCTTATGTGAAAAGTAAGTGAGTAAAAGTATCTAAGCTCATGCCTAATCACAAGTTACAATTGACTACTTCTACCATTTAATCAGCGAACTCTTATCGATCGATTTGATAAAAATTCAGAACTCGATCTTACGTGATCAGTAGAACGGTAACGATTTGTTTAAAATAATATGAAATTTTAGTTATATATATAGAGCTTTCTCTCTCACCACATCTGCTCCCAGTATTTTTTTGACAGAATGTAATTTTTTCGTAAAAATAACAACAAAATAAAACATAAGCAAACGGCAATACAAATATAGTGTCTCAGTGAATTCTATTGGCTAAAATGTGTTACCTTGGCCTTAGCCTTAGTCGAGCTACACTAAATTATAGTAAAATATAGTCAGCAGACAATTAAGTGTTTTTCAAACTTGAAATCCCTTAAAGTGGTGACTAATGAAAATTTTGTTATACCATTTATTTGACATAAATCAAGCGAAAATATGGATTTTGTCTTAATTCAAAGTGAGACGAGAATTTATAGAAATCCTCAACTAATTATAATAAGAAAAGTTAATAAATATGTATATATAAATAAAAATAAAATTAAAGATAAATGATGTGAGGAAAATAGCAAAGCAGGTATCCGAAAAGACGAAAACAAAAGAAGATATAGAATCCATTTAAATATTTTTGAAAGGTATGAGTTTAAATATCTACATATGTATGTACATATGTATAAATATACTGGCAATTTTTTTTTTAATTTAAACATAATTTTTTTATATTTATTTTTGTTTGATTGAATGAAATATAAATACATTCATATAAATTTTCATATTAACTAAGTTAATTCTTTAACCCTCTTGGATTATAACGATTTCTGAACGATTTGTGTGGAGTAGAAAAATTAATTGAAAGGTATTTTCGAATCATTTAAAATATTTATTAGTGCACACTCGACTGCCCGCGACGCGTGCGAAAGTATGCGGCGTAGCAAATTGTAGAATTTTATGTTTTTTTGGAAAAATGTTCAAAAACATGTTTCTTAGCACTAACCTAAGAAAATATAATATTTTATATTCTACTAAAACAATATATGTACATATACATATTTTCCGGGTGAAATATTTTCTCTAAAGAAAAAAATAAATAAATATCAAATTAAATTCGATCAAATTATAAATTTTTCACAAAAATAAAGAAAAAATAATAATGTTTTTATATAAACACATGTAAATATATAAATGCATACATATTTAAAAATAACCATGTATTCTATAATTTTCGAAAAATTTTATTTTTTTGCTTCTTTAGTGGTATACAATTTATATTTTCCATATAATTTTTTTATGTATAGAATTTGTAAACGTTTTTCCTCCAACTGACTACGCCTTTCGCTGATATAAGGTGCTAATTTAAAAAGTAATAATATTTTGTTATAAAAATAAACACAAAGAGAATTTCGCGATAACATTTTATAGTCTGAGTGAGTTTCAAAGCGTAATAAAAATGGGTGTGTAAGGAAAAAAAATTAAATTCTGAAAGCAAAATATTTAATTTTGTGGAAAAATGAAATCAAAACAAAAACAATAAGCGCGCAAGCGACGACAGCGACCGTTTTGTATTACACGACGAATGACTGACAGGTTGGCAGCCTACTTGAGTGGCTGACTAATTGGCTGACTGATCATTTCCGACCAGCTGCCTCCGCTTTTGTTTCTGATACTCTTGAACTTGGACCACACGCCGACAATTGGCTTTAGTAAGCGATTGTACTAAGTGATGTATGTCAGCGCGTAGTACTAAAATTGCGGGGAAGACTTTTCACTCATTTCACGTGACCCGTAGTTGCTTTCAAATTCTAGTAGGAATTATGTGAAACAATGAACAAATGTATTTTGGCTTTTGGAAATGTTTAAGTATCACTTTGGTCATGGATAATTAAATAAAATTCAAATAATATAGGCCGCAATATCGGAGTAGACTATATCGAGCTCTTAAATGCTATTTATCTTATTCATTTATTCGTTAATTTCCTTTTCTCTTTTAATAACACAGAAAATAAATAAATAAACTATAATAAAATAAGAAACAAAATAAAAAAATTAAATAATTGAAATAAAATAAATTAACCGAATGTAAAATAAAATGAAAATAAAATAAAATAAAATAAAATAAAATAAAATAAAATAACATAAAATAAAATCAAATGAAATAGAATAAAATAAAATAAAATAAAATAAAATAAAATAAAATAAAATAAAATAAAATAAAATAAAATAAAATAAAATAAAATAAAATATTTTAAAATAAACTAAATAAAATAAAACAAAAAAATTATTACAATTAAGACAAAAGAAAAACGAAATAAAATAAAGTCTAAAAAAGAAGATATAAAATAAACTAACACAAAATCGTTCAATTCTAAGCAAACACTGAAATTGCAGTAATTTATTTCTATTCATATCTATATATTGGTATTTTTGAACGTGCGAGATCATAAATTCGATAACTTATTATAATAAACTGGGCAAATATGCGCTGTAGGCTCGCTAGAAAGTCTTCTGTGGAATTATTGTATGTTATTGTTGTGATATTGCGTTGTAGAAAACAAAAATTGAACAATAAACAAAATCATAAATAACAATATAGTTGCAAAAAAATATATGAAACAAAGTTGGAAGAATAGGAAATCGTGATAAAATTTAGTAAAAGTTTATAATGAGGATGTTTTAGGAAAGATCAAGTAATAGCAGATGTTGAGATGATTTAATTGCTAAATAAATAAACACTTAACTATAATATAAAAAGGTAGAGAAATAAACGTTTCACATTTCTTTTTTATAATTTAAATTATGTTTGATGAAAATTAATTTCAAGAAAATAATATTTTTGCTTCTGCACGAATGCTTGTTCGTGTATAGTCTCAATATATATATAATCACGTTTTTAAATGTATAACAGCTACGAAACTAAAAAGTTTATTGATCAAAATAAGAGAGTTAAATAAGTAAAAACAAATGCATATACATTTTCATTTACCTGTTTAAATTCATTTTTTCATCCACAGGAAAAAGGTGCCTTCATCTCTGCGCTCTACTGTCGTGACACCAATTGTACTGGTCTGGCTGTGCCTGAGACCACCGGTTTGCCCCATCCCAATTGGAATTGTTTGGTTTGTAAACAAAAATCTACGCATGCGCAAATGGTAAAATCACAAGATTTCGCATCGGGCGCAATTAGCTCCAAATTCAATTCGAAGTCATTGAAATCGGTGGTGCTCTATCTAAGAGACAAAAGCTCCAGCTTTATACCCGATAGTAATTATGTTGTAATCGATGCAAAATTGCAAGTAATTGCACGCTTATCGAAGAGTCGAGAAGATTGTGGCGATGAAGAGGCGGCGTCGAAGGCAAAATTCTGTGAAGACTTATTGGAGATTATGGACAAGCTCGGTTTGGGCGATTGTGTGATGCGTACCTATTTGGAAACGGAGAAGGCGAAGGAGGTGAAGTAAGCGACTCAAAGCTGCAAGCAGAAGGAGAGCAGAAATGAATGTATTTTTTTTGTTAAAAACGCAGATTTTCTTAAGCTGCTGCACAATGTTATGGTAAAGAAAAGTTATGTTTATATACAAAGAAAAAATTGTTTAAACAATTTTAAAAAATGTTGGCATACTTTAAAAATATATTACATTTTGTTTTAATTTTCTTTTTGAGTTGTCCCTTGTATTTTTATTTCTGTTGGTTTTTGTTTGAATACGAAAATTTATATTTACATATATGCTGCAAAGACACGATGACACAGTTTTTAAGTAAAAATAATTTTTATGTAAACCTAATAACATTTTACAAATAAGGATACATACATATATACTTACACATACATAATGGAGCCTCGAATATTCATTATTGAAAATAGTTGTACAAGTAATTTTTATTGTTTGTATTGTTAATACGAGTATGTATAAAAATAAATGTCCTTTAAATATTTTAAAACATGAAAAGAAAATAAAAAAGTAAAATAATAAAAAAGGGAGTTTATTTTTAGCGGGACACTTTACTTAGGATATTATAAATACAAAAAAATGTGAAGTTTTTACAATACCATACATATTTTTCAACCATATTTTTTTTTTTGAGACAAATTTCCCATGCATTTTTCAGTTTCTTTTGTTTTAAATGGAACTTTTTTCTTTGCTTTCCCACATAAATTCCTCTCTCGTAAGTAATCCTGACCAATCACTTTTTAATCTCGCATAATTTCTAAGTTATTCACCCATTTAGACCAATGGCCTAATCACGTACATTGTCAAATGAATACATGCATTAATTTTTAAAAATTTTTAATCCTGCTAGTCGAACCATCCAAGCATTGCAATTGTCAATTTAATAAATGGGCAAAAACAAATATTTATGCGGATAAATGTAGCTTTAATATAAGTGGATTCGGAATTTATAAGCCATTTATTTTTTGTGAATATATACATACATACTTGTGTATGTATTTATGTACATATGTATAGATATGAGCGCCCGCTGTTATATTGCTTGCTTTCCTCGATATGTGTAGGCGTGTGCTCTACATTATATAAAATACATATATATACAGACAGTATTTGCCAAATTTAATAAATAAATACTTTTTTTTGAAATTTTTGCTCATAAATAGTTAAACATACGATAATTTAGTTCCCAAATTGTGTTAGTGCCAAATAGTTTAAAAAGAATTTTTTTTTGCTTTTGCTTTGCACTCGTTTGATTTATCGTCTAATATGAACATCGTACTTTTCATTTTATTTACCTTTAATATTATGTTCAATAAAGCTCTATAATACGCGTACACTGAACCTAATATTTAAAATAACTTAATTTTAATTATAATTTTTCTATGATATAAATTTTACTTTATTTAAGTATTGCCAAATTTTTTATTTAATTTTTAATTCTTAACTCCTTTTTAAATCTTTCTTTTTTATGTGTTTTTTAATTTCATTTATTTATCAAACTTTTAATTTTAAATTTTATCTTAGTTGAAATTTGAGTTTGAATTTGAATTTGANATTTTAAATTTAATTTTAATTTAAATTTTAGTTTTAATTTTATCTATCTATCTACGAGGTGTGTTCAAAAAGTATCGCGAATTTTGAATTTTTGCGGGTTACGTATAATCAAATTTCGATTTTTCTGTAGCGTTATGTTGGTACTCATGTCTGTCACTTATGCCGACAAGCTCGGCCATTTTGAATGTTCACTTAATTGTTGACAGCTGCTTTGCTTGCACGTGTCTTGGATGGTCTGCGATTTTTACCTATTCAAAAAAATGGATCAAAGAACCTGTATAGAATTTTGTGTGAAAAACGAAATTAAGTGTGCGGATGCATTCCGATTGACTGTGGCATACGGAGAAGCTACCTTAGACCGAAGCAACGTTTATCGGTGGTACAAAATGTTCTCAGAAGGCCGAGAAGATGTGAACGACAAAGAGCGTGCCGGACGCCCGAGCACTTCAACAACAGACGAAAAAATTAATTGCAGGGGCGTGGTGCATTATGAGTTCTTGTCACAGGGTAGAACGGTCAATAAGGAATATTACCTGCAAGTTATGCGCAATTTGCGCGAAGCAATCCGCCAGAAACGCTCGAACTTGTGGAAGAACAAAAATTGGCTTTTGCACCACGATAACGCCCCTGCTCACACATCGTTGCTTGTGCGCGACTTTTTGGCCAAAAACAACACACTAATGATGCCGCAGCCACCGTATTCCCCAAATCTGGCCCCCTGTGACTTTTTCTTCTTCCCTAAACTGAAGAGACCCATGAAAGAACGACGTTGCGCTACGTTTGACGAGATAAAGACAACATCAAAGGAGGAGCTGAGGAAGATAAATAAAAATGGTTTTTGAAGTGCTCCGAAGATAGGAAAACCTTTTGCACAAATATCACATTGGGATTACTTTGAAGGGGACAAAATAGATATTCATGAATAAATAAATAATTTAAAGAAAAAACACAAAATTCGCCATATTTTTTGAACACAACTCGTATACTTGATATTTATTGTACATAAGAAAGGTGATTTATGTTCTTTACAACGAAATGCATTAATTAATTACATTGTGTCTATTTTACAAAAAAGACACTTTGATACATATTTACATTTAAAATTTCAGTAAGTTTGTACGGAATATGTAAGTACGGCAGTAAGTATGAGTCTAATTTTGTCCCCACGTGCTGTCTGCTCGATTTATCTTTATCTTTTTGGCAACATTGGTTTAAACAGCTGACACACGTTTCGTGTTTTGCATCACTCTCAAGCATCTTCAGTTTGGTCTATAATTCAACCACGAATCGCCTTACAAACGAATAATGCAAATAATTAAATTTTATTATCGAAATGCCAGAGGCATTGCAAGAGCTACTAACGCATCCTGTAAAAGTCACAGTTTGATACTTTTTCAAACATTATGCGAAGTGTAACGTAACTGTGATTGGTGTGCCCTACTGTGCGGTGAAATCAACTTTTGTCTATTAACAAGACGGTGTCACATGCCACACAGCACGCGTAACAATGGACCTATTTGTGAAGTGAGTTCGATGAACATTTTATTTTTCATTCGGGACTGGTAAATCGGCCGCCTAGATTGTACGATTTAACGCTTTGAGACTATTTTTTGTGAGGCTATGTTGAATCTAATGTCTATACAGACAAATTCGCTTCGAATGATGCATTTGAGTACAATAATAAAGCATTTATTCGTGAGATACCGGCCGAAATGTTGGAAAGAGTATGCCAATAATTGACTGAACAAAAATTAAATTATTTGGACCGTACTATTGACTCAAATAAAGATTTCATGAATTTTTTTGAAAACTTTCCTATAGCTCTTAAGAAATCACCCTTTACTTTGTTAATATGTATTCATACGTCTACGTTAGTTAATGATCCATGGTGGATTTACTAGGCCTAGGTGGGCTTTATTCTTTCACACAATACGCCAGATGAGAATTATCACATTCCTTATTATCCAAAAGTAATTGGCGCAGGCTCATTATAGGTTCGGCAGAGCCTCCAGAGGTTCCAATAATCGGCCATGCTTTTTCCATCATCATCGATTGAGCACTCGGTTTCAGTACCTCCTAGCGTTTTCCACGCCCCGCAATTCAGTAGGCTGAACAAGTGTTTCCTCTACAAACTCAGTATATTCTGGACATCGGCCACCATATTACTTGCTTGGTACACACATGAATATGCTCAGGTGTTGAGCCTTCTATATGCCGCCTGAACTCTTCATACAATTTTTGAACGTTATACTTGTTTGGCCTGCCTGTCAAGCTCTTTATGCGCCTGCAATTTGGCCTCTCGCATATTTGGCCTCCAAATGTTTCTAACTCTAGACGTATATTCTATCAATCACGAGACTTACAAGCAGCACAATAACTTTTCTTGTGCCGGAATCTGATTCTAGAAGCAAACACATTTTGGGTCCCGGCACAGTTGATCAGCATAAAATCGTCTGGCAATGTTTCATCATGGAGATTTGGTAGACCGAAGATACTGAATGAGCTCACCGTCTCACTAAAATCGAATAGCATAATTTTGATATTGCGGTGGGGACAGCTTTCTCCATGTCTTCCGTCGACGCACGAACAAGCCTTTTGGTAATAGTAGGGTGAGCAGGGATTACTTACTAAACTTACAAATGTATTTACTAAGCTAATGGGCTTATAAAATAGATTACTTTGGCCTTGTATACCAGTCACAGGGCAATGCATGGAGGATTCTCGTTAAAAACCAATATTTTTTTTTGCCAAAATTTTTATTTCCCATACTTTGAGTGTGACTGCAAATACCTCTAATTACAAAAACATTTTCTCCTACATTACTTTAGTCTTAGCGCCAATATGTTATTGCCAAATGTGTGTTGACGGTATTTGAATGTTCTTTGCTAAATGAACATGACAGCAACAACAAACAGACAATGACACAGTACAAATGTACCCATTCATATTCCTTTCCATATCGATTTGTGTTTTGACTCGGAAACAATTTGTGCAATGTAAATATACTCACACACACACATATACATATATATTTACTTAAGCCTTTCTAAATATTTTTAGTCATTATTTTAAAAAATTTATTTTTGTTTATTACTTTTTCACCATGCGGTCGCCTTACACATCTGTTCCCGGCCGCTCGGCCAACCAGCCGCAGTTCAGTTTAGTCAATTTGCGCGCCAAAGATTTTCACTAATTTGCATCGAAACAAATTTGCAGAGATTTTGCGCCGTCTTCTCCGCTGTTTCTCGCACTTATTAGCTTCATACTTAGTATTCAAATGGCTTTCTTTCTATATGTACAAATATTTATTTAATTTTTTTTTCTTCGTGTTCAAAATTTTAATTGCTTGTCGTAGTATAAATGTTTGTTTTCGCAGACATTTGACTTGCTTTGCGACAATAATAAACTGGGTTAATTTCAAGTCTATATAATTATTTAAATGAATATTTAGCTTTACATTTTATGCAAAATTACGGTAATTTTTTCGTTCTTTCATCGTCTCAGCATTTAATGACTCAACCTATTCTTTTATTTGAAATATATATGTATGCATGTGTGTAAGTATGGCAAAATATATATTATTTTATTGTTTTTAGTGTAAAAATCAGAAAAAAAATACTTAAATACGATTTTTTTTTGCA